CATGTCAATCAAATGTCATGAAGAGTAACAAGGGCGGCTACAAAAAGTATTCTAACAAATAAACACATTCTGTGAATAAAACAAACACATGCTAAACAACATCAACAACAACAAGAAAAAGCAATAGTATTTTCTGGCAACTTTCTGCTTTTTTGGTGTTGATAGTAGTGTGTCACTGGTTGTGTGTGTTTGTGGGAATTTACTTTTAAATTAAATTGCTCTTCAATGCAAATACTGGTAGTTCTTTCATCCACCAAGTTTGAAATTACAAGAAAATATGGATATTGAAAAAAAAATGTGTCTGTGAGAGAGATATTTAAAATTTTACCGTATTGCAATGTAACCTGTGCCTAATTCAGGGGTCATCAATGTGGTGCCCACCGGCACCAGATTGGATTGGATTGGATTGGATACAACTTTATTGTCAAATGTACTGTATGTGTAACATACAGCACAGATGAAATTTCTTCCCTCTCAACATAAAACAAGAGGAGCCGCTGCGGGTTTCCGCGCCGCTATCAAAAGAAAAGTTAACAAAAAAATGCAGATGCAGATGGCCTGCAAGGACCACAAGAGTAGCCCACGGGGCTGTTCTGAAAACTGCCCATCAGTAACAGGACATTGTGATTTTCTGGAGATGTTTAAGAAGTGGTCATTTTAAAATGTGAACACGAGCAGAGATATATGAAAATGGTGTTCCATATGATATTTTTCGGTTTCCTCATTATCGTGAGAAATCATTAACCCGATCAGTGTCTTCACAAAGATGAATATTAATGCAGTGTTAACAATAACATGTATTAAGTCAAGTCAAAGGCATTTATATAATTGCTACTTTGCTACAGCTACAGCTACAGCTGTGAAATAAAGATGTATTCATTGTATTGTATAATCTCAAAAAACGTATCAAAGGGCTTAACAAGCCCATAGTGGACAAATATTAACGACATCCCCTGATCTTAACCTCACAGGAGGTTAAAGGTAATTTGAGCTAATTTGTTATTTCAGAATTATGTATCGAATTAGTAGCCCTTCGCACTAATCAATAGCCATGAAGTAGCGCTCACTTTCAAAATTGTTGGTGACTCCTGGCCTAATTTAGACAATGCTGCCCTCACACTAGGTTTTGGGCAGAGAGACTAGGCAAAGTTCCGCCATTTTGAGGACTCAACTGAAGCCCTATCATGTCAAAGTCAAAAGGCCAGATGACCTGCAGCGTTAGTCCTAATTAGGTCAAGTATTACATTATTATTCGAATTAGCTTCTCACAACCAGCATATATGCCACTGTTCAGAAAAACTGTTGATGTGGAGCTGGGGGATATTTGTATTTGGTGATGTGCTCGGAGCATTTGCCACACGCACAGATCCGGATACTGATCGACAAATAAAGCTTGGTGATTAAGCCTTGCCTCGATGAGTTGAAAATAAATATTTGCCTTTGTGGGGGTGCACTTATCTCTTCAGACTCCGGGCTCCTTTATAACCAGTAGTAACCTGGTCATGATAGCATAAGATGTACCCTGCACTGCCACCACAGTAGCCCTTATTGCCTCCACCACCATATAATTTCAAAAACTGTGTTAAAAGAGCACATCAAGTATGCTGTAGTTATTTATCCTTTGTTTATTTAGAGCCAAGAACATCAGAGACCTTCCATAAAGAGACCTTGGAACTGTTTTAAAAGGTGACAATAATGCATGTCTCCTTTATAGCAGAACTCATCATCTTCTTGAAGTGCCCATCGAAAGGATGTTTGCATACTCAGTGAGTGTTTGTGCGCTTGTGCTCGTGGAAATAAATCCAATGTATTCCTTATTGAATTCTTCACATCAGGGCATTTACTCTATGTAAAAATGGATTTTGTTACACTATTTTCTCTATGTGAAGGAGTGTTAATGTTTACATCCAATTATGTAAAAATGGCAACTTTCTGCAGGACATTTTGGAGACAGGCTTTGAACGATGAAGCATAACAAATACAAAGTAGGATGGAATTGTGTGTTGAAATTAATCTGGATTTATTTTTGTGCAAAGTCTACCATGAACTAAATCGTATTAAGGGGGGGGACTCTCAAATGGAGGTTATGACACGTCTTTTTGTGATTACCAGGACATGGATTTTTGCTGACGTATACAGACTGCAAGATACATTATAATGAGTAGAAATATCATCGTAATTGTTTTTGCTCTTTGTGAAATTTACATCAGTGTAAAAAGTAGTTTTGATGAATTATTTAACTAGGATACAACACAGTGATGCAAAAAAAATTGTATAAGGAAGAATGATAAGTAGGGAGTCAGGTATTCCTTAATCTGCAGGCAGGGCACCAGTGAAAGATTGGACAACAGCTGTCTTTAGTTCTTGCCCTTACACACAGCATTCTTGTATCATTTTCATTTTGCTCTGTGATCTCCACAAAATACAAAACTATAAAACTGCACTTACATTAGATGAATACAACAGTGTGTCCTGCTCCATGCTCGGTCTTAAACTTGCAAGATGGAATGAAATGTTGACCAGAAATGTCTGTAGTTGTAAAACAACACGAGACTCGAGGCAAATATTTGTAATTCAGACATCGTTTTTTTTTTTCCTTTTTTTTTTTTCCATCTGACAAATGTGTTGCTCTGTTGCCTGACTACAACTTTTGTCTTTCTTGAGGAACAAACCCAAAGGCCCTGACCTTATGTTTGTACCCCTGGTTTGAACACAGTCAGGCTTTGTGCCAGCTCTCCCAGCACACCAGCCCCTGGATGTCCGGCCCACAACACGAAAGCCCCTCTAGTCCTTGCCCCAGCCCCCCACGATTGACCCTTTATGAACGGTATCCACTCAGCTGTGACTAAGTGACTCTCCCCCTATGTGCGGTGTTTTATAATGAAATCATTCAGCCATGCGCAGGAAGTCCCCTGCACTATGTAGCCTTGAAAGAATGTCAGTTATGTCTATCCACTCACACATGGCGAGGGAGAGCGAGCCTGAGTTAGTCACTTATTTAATGGCAAAACACCTACACATTCATTTAGCTTTTTGTTTATTTATGCCTAAAATATTGTTAGGCTGGTTTTTAATTCATGTAAAAAATGTTGTGCTATCAAAACTATTAGCCAAATCAATTGTCACATTCTGGTGGGAGTTATAAAAAGGAAGAGAAAAATGATCAGAGTTCAAGCCTTCAACATTAAAGACAGTCTGTGTACACAGCCGGTTCCTGTTTCATTTTCCTGTTGGAGAAATCGCTGCGTGTGTGTGCGTGTCCATGGAGATGATCCTCCCTCTGCTCCTCTGGAATGTTTGCTATGTGCACAAAAAGAGGAAGATCAGCTGAAGTACCTGCAGATCTGTGCTGGGGCATGCTGCGAGCCTCAGGCTGCATGACCGTAGGAGCCGGTGGCTCTTTGTACGTACACACACACACACACACACACACACACACACACACACACACACACACACACACACACACAAACAAGTACCACATGTGAATAGAACCACAGCGCACTGGCATTTCTGAGGCTGTAATTAAGTACCACATACTGCTTTAGTGCCATGAGCTATAGGAAAAGTTTAATTCATTACGGTGTCACAGGATTTTGTTGCCTGTGGAAAAGGATAAATTGGGGGTAGACTTGAAAAACTTTGCATCGCTAACCAAAACAAACCAAGGAGAAAGTGTGAGCCATGCATAAAAAGTTAAGGCTAGATGTGATTTACAAAGTTAACATTTTTTGAATCATTCAAAAAAATGTAGCACATTAGTTGATTTCACTACCAAATATGTGAACAGTGAACAAAAGATATGAACCTCAAAGGTCAAGATGTGAGGCGAATCATGAAAGGCAGAAAAAGCAGGAGGGTTGTGAGTCTGGTTTCCACGTGCAGGCCACAGTTAATCATTGTGTTTAATCCCTGGTGTCTGCAACCCGTCATAAATCTCTTTGCAGGGTTCAGCATGAACGAGCATGCTTAGATGGTGCCCAGCTGTACGCACAATCCACGTAACAACCCACCACCCCCACTCCAGTGAAACTCAAGTCAACATATTAACCGTAGAACCAGCGCCCAACTCGTTACCGTGACCTCCTTTTCCCTAGAGTTAGTGCACATATTGATCTACTAAGCAGTTGAAGCAGGTGGTTGCGCTGGATGAAAATGTTATTACCTGCTTAACCCTGTACACCGCGTCGCTGCCATTGTGACCCACCAGGCATGACCGCAAATCATTTGCACGTGCTCCAAACATAGAAACGGCAGATAAATCACTGTTCGAATAACATACGCAAAACCTCTCATACCACGAGCTCTACAAATAGTGATGCGCCCTGGAGTTGGCTGAACATACAGAAGTAGTAAAAGAAACCAGCTGCAGAATAGCAGGGAGGCTGAAAATATGACTTTCTAAACATGCATAGTTGGTTTTCGCTTTGAAGATCAGAGAAGTCCAATCTGTTCGGGAACTAATAAAGAATGAGCCTTTTCAAAATGGTCAAATAAACCCTTGCAGTGTTGTAGCGAAAGCCTGAAGACGTAATACTGACCTTCAGGCACTCATGTGCTTTGAATCCATTTCACTGTTCAAATTGAACCTTTGAAAAACAATAAACAAAGCCCTCATCTGAGGAAAAGAGCATTAATGAGCCTATCAGCGTAGCATGTTTTTTGCTCTAACTGAATAGACAAATTCATTCAATGTAGCCCTTGATTCAGGTGAAAGACAGATGAGAAGAAATTTCAACGTAGTTAAGAAATAGCAAATCCTTTTGCAAACGTATCAAATGATGTCACTTGTCTCCTCCATAATTCCTGGTAAGATTATAAAGGATTAGCGTTTCCCGTTGTAGCGTGCCTTTGGCTGGCAGGATGGCTCAGAGGGAACATTCATGCCAGTACCACGCATTTATACAACACAATGAAAGCACTGTAATGATCAGCACAGTAGCTTGTGCAGGCTACTAAATGTTTGACGCACCATAATAACTGTTCAGCAACACACAGTGTTTCAACATAAATTAGTGTATATTTCAAAAAAGAAAAGGGACAAGATAGTTTGGAATGTTACAATGCACATTCAATTAGCGGACCTCTGACTTGCCAAAACAAGTTGGTCAGCAATATTTACACAATGTACAATTGAAATGCTACACTTTTAAGGCTGAATAAAAAGAAAAATGCAGGTGCCACGTTGCCTGTCCGGCAACTAACTGTGCAAAAAGATTTTCTAGAAAATCGACCATATGTTCACAGAAATAAAGTATTAAATATTGAACTGTAAACAGTAAGGCGTGGGAGTTTATCATATCTAGATTAAAGACCATACGGCAATAATCCAAACAGGGGTTATATGTTACCCCATGCAGTCACTTTATAATCTTTACATGTGGTTCGAGTCAAATGAGTGTACCAAGTGGGATTCACGGTGTGAGATGAATCAGCAGGGATTAAGCTCGCACAAATAGTTATAAAGTAGGCGTCACATTTTATCCATAAGAGGTAGGTAGTTCACTTGGATATTCGAGACAAAGCTGTCATCTTTGCATCTTTGGGCCGCAGACCCCATCGTGGCTGCTCATAGCTGGCCGTACTTCTCTTTGCAATGTAGAATGTGTTTGTATACTCTGTCTATCCTGTCCTGGAGGACAGCGGCGTGCTCGTCTGAAAGGAAGCCCAGCTTGGCTGACAAAGGCTCGCTGTCTCTGTAGAGCTGCAGCAACCTTATCCTTGAGTCTCTGCGCTGGTGGAGCTCCGCCACGCGCTGCGCGGTCCTCTTCCTGAACACGCACACGGAGCTCAACACCGTCTGGTGATATTGCTCCCACATGTTCAACACCCGGAAGCCGTGCACTAACCCCGCTTCGTTATCGATAAAAACGAGATCTCCGCGCGGCGTTTTCAGGAGATTGTTCGTGTCCCTTTCCATGACGCGCGCGTCCCACTGCAGGCTGAACAGATTGCTCACTAGCCGGTCAAAGTTGGCCGTCATGTAGTCGAATATGATCAGGTCGCTCCACTGCATGAGATCCACAAGCTCCGCCGTTGTCTTGTTTAGCAGCTCGGGATGCAGCCCGCTGCTTTCCTGGCGTAGCGGAGCAGGCGTGACCACCCCGCTTAGGTTGGAGACCCACTCGGTGAGAGAAACCACAGCGTGGTCGCTCCATTGTAGTCCGCCGAGGCGCGTCCTCACCGCCACCCATTGTTCATTGTAGCTGTTTAGCTGGGACAGTATTAGTGGGGGCACATTGGTGATGCCCAGTAAACAAGCAAGGTAATAGGTCAAAGTTTCACCTTGCACCTGATCCGCGTTGATCCCGTAGCGCACACACGCTTTGGAGCCATCCGCAAAGGTGGCGAGCTGATTGGAAGTCCTGCCGCATCCTGGCTCCAGCTTCACGACCCGCGCCGCCCTCGCCTTGTCTCGCCAAGCATGGGCGTATTCCTCCGTAAAGCCCACCGGGAGTAAATCCTCCAGCCATGCGCTCCAAAATATGCCATCCTCCACGGGGCGGTCCAACTTGACAAACCCTTCCTGTGGAGTCGTCTGATTCCTATTCACGTTGTCATGGCGACTTCCCGCTGGGTACTCACTAAGGTTGTGAGCCTTGAGTTGGGTTCTGTGCGCCGCCGGGACAGCGAGCAGAGTCCGGAAAGTTTTAGCCGAAAGATCCACGGGGAGTTTGGGGTAGAACGACCCCGCTCCTGGCACGGCGAAGCCTCGTTTGTGTCGCTCCAAGCGGTCCTCCAGTGAGCTCCACACGTAGAAAACCCCCGCGAACGCGCCCAGCAAGAGCAGCGCGAACAAGTTGGATGTCACAACCCTCATGGCGAAGACTAAAAAAAAAATTAAATAAGATCCGCTTCTATTCAAGCCGAGGTTGAGTTGGAGCGACCGAAAGCCTGTGCGCCCCCGGACCCAGTGACTGCCAGTCGGACTGCTTGAGAATGAGACTCCGAAGCGGTGTGCCGCTCATCTCAGATGCTTATCAAAAGCCTCCTGTATGCAGAGACATTTTGGATTTGTCCTCTACTGAACCCTCGTCATCGTTACTCTCTGGTGATGGAGTGGCTCTGTGCCCGTGAACACCTCACTGCTTCTCATCTTCCTCTCTTTCGCTCTTCTCCCCCTCTCTCTCTAAGGAAACCGGTGCTGGGTATGTTTGATTTGTGGCGGTGTTGGCTGGTTGAGAAGCTTGGCTGTGAGACACGTGATTCCAGTCCCGGCTTGGTGGGAGGGTCGTGCGGAGGAGGGAGCAGGGAGGAGTGGAGCAAGTGCACGATGCGTTGTGTGAGTGTGTGCCTGTGTTATGTGTGTGAGTGTAGTGACTTTTTAATCCTTTCATATTAAAGCAGCAGTTTTCTGAAACAGACTCATCACATATCTATCTCATATTTCCACCCACCTAATCCCCTCCAGGTAACATATTTTCAAAACCGAGGCAGATTAAAAAAAAAGCATTTGCCCAGAAAGCATTTGCCCAGAAAGCAACAGTTTAATGATGTGATTTCAGAGGTGGCAAAATTACTTGAATTAGTGTTTACTTATCATAAAGATATTGGCGTAAAAAAAGACAAGTGAAAGTAGAAATACTGATTCACCTTTAAAAGTTAAAAAAGAAAAAAAGGCTTTGAAATGTACAAAAGCAAAAATAAAAACAAAATGTTACTGTTAGTAATACAGTATGTCGCAAAAGTCACTACCATCCACTTCCATTTTATGTCATTTCAGGTATCAGTTGAACAGATGTGAGGCCATCAACATTTAATAGCTTAGGCTTGGCACTTTAAGCCTATCATTCTCTTGCCCGTAGCTCACCATGTGACACTAAAGCAACATTACAAAATTTCAGCCTGGCACCAAATACTAGGGCCGTACCGACCTCAGGTTGGTTAACATAATAATCTTGTGCTTGAAGCCTCTCGGAATCAAACTTGTGTTGACGCTTAGATCAAATGCAGTCCACCGGATAAATGCCATCACTAAGAGTTAGGTGTTTTCATCAGTGGCCATATAGTAGCAGGCCTTCCACTGCATAGTCTGTCAAAATACATGGTGGAACCTTCGAAAACTGCTGCTGCAATGCTACAATAATATGTGTGTTAACTATAATATATTAAGAGAGTTGTTGGTAAAGAGGAGGTTAAGAGTATTAGGGATAACTACATATTAGTGTGTAGATATGCTTATTATGACAGAAATGCATGCTACATTTTGGTATACAGTATATCATTTTATATATTATGCTATGATGAGAGAGTGGTATATGAATATTCTTAAATATTATTGATAAATTGGTAATAAAATGAAAATTGAAGGTTAGGTCCACATAAGTTGATACCTCTGCCAGCTCCCTTTCTAAACATGTAAATGATCAGATGTGCCGAAGCAGGTAATTTATTACCTTTGTTTGATCATTTATTTATTTATTACATTTGTTCAAGTATTCATTTTTATAGATATTTGAAATTAAAATGAAAAGAAGGATGGTTGTATGTCTATATGTCTTGTGATTGACTGGCAATCTTTTCAGGGTGTGCGCTGCCTCTTGCCCAAAGTCAGCTGAGCTCGGCTCCAGCTCACATATGACCCTAATGAGAAGTAGCGGCATGGAAAATGGAAAGAGCCTTGCTGGTACAAAAATGCATTCGTATTTTAGCCCTCAAATCTTTGTGAAGAAATCTTGGGTAGTCCGCTGATTGTGCTTTTTTAACACGGTTCACAAAAAAAATAAGTCCTTCAGCAGATTTTTTTTTAATCTACCCAATCTAATTTTGAGATCTGTTTAAACCAAATGAGTCTGCACTGCGTCTTCATCCTAGATAACTAGATAGCAAGGAACTTTAAAGACGTTCTCGACAAGTGGCACAGACAAGGTCACTAAAGTACTTGAATCCATGCTTCTTGTAAGTGAGCACATGCCATGGTTTTTTTTTTGTTTTGTTTTATTTGGTATGTGCGTCTGCCCTCCAAAATCCCGCTTCACATTGGTTCAGTTGCTTTGCTTTCACTTCGTAACTAAATAAGTAGCTAAAGCACAACAACAGTCTCTTGGGTTCTAGACACGGGAAATGAATAAGGCTTAAGTGCATTGCTGGAATTCCGTCAGATGTGTGTTGGCTTTTCCAAGTATCCGTGTGGACTGGATCAGTGTGCAGCAGCAGCCCAGGTTCTGGTGTCTCTTTCCCTCAGAGCAAGTGTGGGCATGTTCACATATCAAGCCTATCTGTTTCTTGCCGCGTGTTATCTTGCAGGTCAGCAAACCTTGGAGCAACCTCCCCTCCTGCCACATTCCTGCCCCACGTTTCCTCATAAAAACCTACAGCGCTCCCCAGAGAGACGTATAATGCTGGGCTGGCTTTTCTCCACAAGTCGCGGCCGCCTGTGGTCAAGCGCTGCAGTGACACAAGAGAGCCCAGGCCGTCTGTCATTCTGTCTGCAAAGACGCAGTGTGCCCATCAGCAGTGGTCTGAGCACGCCACAGCTGTGATGCGGTCTCGGGTTCTCTGCGTGGTGCCGCTCTGCCTGTGCAGATGGCCAGTCGAGAGGACATAAGACATTGGGGATCAGGACAGAGCGAGAGTGAGTTCACTGGATCTGTGTTGCTTCCTTTACAGTCTAAGGTTAGTTCGCAAAAAGCAATAAGTCACAGGTCCCTTGGCACTTTCCAGCACTTTATCTTCTAGACTGAATAATGAATGTGCACATTTTCCATTAGCGTTGAAAGCTGCAATTATTTCACAGGGCATGACAATTCTTGCTCTGGGATTTAGGACAGGGTTGGTGTGTGTGTGGGGTAACCTATTGGGATGAATTCATAGTCTTGAAGTTTTTATGCGTATTGAAAAAAATGTTTCACTGTGTAAAAAGTGGTTTTGCATCTCTTTTGTAGCTTGTAAAATGAATCGGAAACAAAGAAGTAGCTGGTTCGTGTTTGCACTCTATTGGCAAGTATGCTTGAGCACCAAGGGCTCTGTCTTCGAGCAAAGTGTGGTCTAACCATGTACATGGGCAGGCTATACCTTTTTTTGATATTTTACCTTTTTCTGGCATTTTCGTAGGGGTACGAAGATTGGCGCAAATGGAAACAGGCAGAAACTAAGTATGATGAGGAACTGTAAGCGTATATCTCCATGGGTGGATGATATAAAGTTGGCCAGGGCCATCACAGATAACTGTTGTGAAGTTATCTTGGAGACCACTTTCCGACCTGACAGTACGTGTCCGTGTGTTTTGTGGGATTGCAATCCTTACAGAGAAACAGTTATCAATTCAAAGGTTAGTGCTTCTCAATCTCTGTTTAAGTTCATCCCAAAGACGTTTGATGGGACTGCATGCCCCGTCCGCTCCTTCCACACAAACATTCCCTAAACTGTTCCCACAGCGTTGAAACCACTTGAGAAGTCAAAGTATGAAGGTTGAGGGGTAACTACCGGGTGTACCTCAAATATGTCAAAAGTCACTGCCAGCATTTTAATTCATAGAGTGGAACTGGCTCGCGTAGCAACAGTAAAAAAAAAACAACAAACAAAACGTAACCAAACGGTACCTTTTGTTCTCAGCAATACCTAGTTTTTATGACAAAAACACACTAATGGTTTCCTTGTGCCACAAGAGACCAGAGTGCTATTAATTGCACTAACATTGCAACTCAAAATGCAAGATTCAGTGTGACCAAAATTAGCCATAATTTAACTGCACACAACAACATGATTTTAACTATTACACTACACCTGCACAACACAACACATTATGATAAATATGACTTCAGCAAAATATGCTGGCAAACATCACCTATTGCAATTCCCCAACACTCCACAATATCTTTTTTAACGGCCCTGTCACGATGCGAGGTGGTGGTGGACCCCAAAAAGCAGGCAGGAGGGAGGAGCAGGGTGTACTTGAAGAATTGTATTGATAAAAACACAGGAAACTAAATCCAAAACAAAGTCCTGAAAACAAAAAGAATCCAAAGTAGCAAACCAAAACCATGACCGAAACAGAAACTATAAATAACCGAAACATGACCAGAACAAACATGACAGCAGCAAACAAACAAACACACAAACACCGAGTGGTCGTGCCGGGAGTCCTTTTAAACAAACAAACTAATTACATAACGACCAACAGGTGTGCAGCTGCAGGGGGAGCCCTACAGTGCCACCTGTTGGTGACAAACAGAATCATGACAGGCCCTTTATGAAGCGAGGAAGACATAACAAACTACAAATTCTATAATGCGGAGCAACAGCTGCCATACCGAACCATTGGATCAGAGGATCATGCGGCTAAAACGTTGTGAATCCTTGCTTGCACTTCCGTTATGTTTGAACAGCTCTTGAAAAACTCTTAAGTCGGTTTACTCGTGTCTCAAAGCATCAGTGCATTTTAAATGAATAAAATTTTATTTTGGAATAAAATTGTATCCTGTTTTTTTTTTTTTTAATTCTCATCTACGTGAAGCGTTTCGTTTTAGTCTATTGTGCCTGTGCTTTGTTTTGCCCCCCTCGTACGATTGAGTTTGACACACTTGGTCTGGCTCACCCCTAAAATGGAAAATCTATGATCTTGGTTTTCTCAGGCATTCCTTTGTTTTTATGTAATCAAGTATTCAAGGAGTTTTTAAAACCTTTGTATTAAATTCATTTAGTATTTGCTCTACTTGTGTTTGGTTCATGTATTCTGTGAACACTGATCTGTAAGTCTGCATAAGTTTGAGTTCCATTCCAAAGGACATAAATTACCAGCGTGACTAAGGAGGTTAAGTACTGAATTCCTTGAGAATGAGACCCAACTGATAAGCGATAAGGGCAACCTTGAAGGGAGAGTGTCTCTCTCTACGGGTGGTTAATTAGGACGCAATAAACACCAGTTTCAGTAAGAAGAGTCTAAGACTTGATGGCTGCAGACTGCTTGACACTATATCCTTGAATTTGTGAACTCTTTTCATCTCAACTACTACTGCGGAAAAGTGCCTTGACCGAGGAATAAATGCACAAGTCCCCAAGTCGATTGTGCAGTTGTTTAATTCTCAATGCAGTGTTTGATGCTATCTTAAAACCAGGCTCCTGTCTGCTGCTATCTAGATAGAAGCTGAAGTCTCACAGCCAGTAATGAGAATGAGTCGGCAGCTCTTTACAAAGAATCAAGCGATTTTGCTCTGCGGGGACTTGTGCTTGGCTTACAGCAAACAGAAACCTGCCCATTTCCCCCCTCCATCCTGTGCAATTTCAGTGCCGAGTCTTTGGCAATTTTCTCAAACTCAA